GACTTATTCAGCAGACTTGGGTTTCTCGAGTTCAATTGCTTCTGCTTTCTGCTGCAACACTGACAACTGCAACACACAAACGCTACCTTGTAAGAGTCATCAGAGACAGGAAACACAAGTCTGATCTTCTTTTATTTCATGTTTGTAAAGCTTTACTCTGTTGATTTCTTTCTCCAACAGTTCCCACCACTCAACCCAATAATGGCCTGATTTGTTTTGTTTGTGACCCCCACACGTCTAACTGTGCCTCTACAGTACAATGTTCAGGAAGTGAAACCAACTGTTTCGGTGTGACTGGTAAGTTTTAAGTTTGGACACTACTGATTTAATAGGTAGAAGTTCATTTTACTTTTTGTAATAAACTAATTCAAATGACTTTCAGATTGAAAGCAACATGCAGTAAAATAAATCCTAAAAACAGACGGTTTAGAGTTAAATTTAGCTTAACAAAATGATTGAAAGGATAAATTAAAACTTTTAGCTGAACCTATGACTTGATAAAGGCATTGTGAATCATCATACACTAACTTTTGATTAGATAAAAAACATTTTTGTCTTTTTTTGCTTGTTTTTATTTTTGTATTGTTTAATTTTGTCACAAAATGTACCCAACTTGGTAAATTTGAATATTTCTTTCCCAACAGTGACAAATCAATCCACAACTCATGCACTGCAGGGTTGTGTCACTCCAAATATAAAGAGAGATGCTCAAAGCCTGTTTGATCTGGTATTCCTGAATACTACTGGTACCATCACTGGTGGGATGTCAATTTGTAACACCCCTGGTTGTAATCGCTCACCATTTGTTCCTACAATTACAACCAGCAGCACCATGTCAAGTAATGCAAACCTCGCAGGAGAGTCAGCACAGTCAGCCACCAGTGATGCAGCTAGTGTCAGAATGGGCATGCTCCATCTTTTGCTTGGACTGGTCATCTTTTTTGTCTAGATGGTGATAGATAAAACATAAGCTTTGAATATATAAGTTATTGTACTGTCTCTTAAAGATTTGTTTGCTTGTAAATATTTATTAATGTGAGACAGGGAGATAGGGTTAAAACACTAAGATTTTATGTTTTAAATGTAATTTTAATATATTATCTACAAATTATGTAAGTATTGTAAGTCATAAAAACACATATTTATTAAAACCACGTTTAAATGTTTAACATGTACTTCTTTTTGTGGTATTTTGTCAAACTGTTTKATCTAGTTTTGTAATATTAACTGATGAAGTTCAGTCAGCCTGCCACACCCATCTACACGTCACAGCTCTTTCTGAGCTGGAGCAACAACAGGGAGCAGCAGAAACTGACAGCTTTCAAAGTCATTTGTAGATCTTAATTTTTATACTGGAAAAAAAACTAAAAGAACTCTGTAGGAGTTGCTGGAGAAGAAGCAGCAGCTAACAGGAGGAGAGRCAGCAACTAACAAGAAAAGATGCATCAATTAACCCACCAGGCCTCTGCCATGTGTTTTGGGCTGCTGATAAAGCAGATAACTTAGCAGCCCATTTAAGTCCTGGAATCCTGCCTCCTCTGGAAATCTAAAAAGATACAGTGCGTAAAATCAGTATTGAACACGTCACCATTTTTCTCAGTAAATATATTACTAGAGGTGCTAATGACATGAAATTTTCACCAGATGTTGGTAACAACCCAAGTGATCCATACATACAAAGAAATCAAACCATAAATGTCCAGAAATGAAGTTATTTGTAACAATGTGGAATGGCACAGGGAAAAAGTATTGAACACACTTTCTGAAATTTATCTAATACTTTGTACAAAAGCCTTTGTTGTCAATGACAGCTTCAAGACGCCTCCTGTATGGAGAAACTAGTGGCATGCATTGCTCAGGTGTGATTTTGGCCCATTCTTCCACACAAACAGTCTTCAAATCTTGAAGGTTTCGTGGACCTCTTCTATGAACTCTGATCTTTAGTTCTTTCCATAGATTTTCTGTTGGATTCAGGTCAGGTGATTGGCTGGGCCATTCCAGCAGCTTTAGTTTCTTTCTCTGAAACCAACTGAGAGTTTCCTTGGCTTTGTGTTTGGGCTCATTGTCTTGCTGAAATGTCCAGCCACGTTTCATCTTCATCATCCTGGTAGATGGAAGCAGATTTTTATCAAGAATGTCTCTGTACATTTTTCCACTCATCCTTCCTTCAATTATTTGAAGTTTGCCAGTACCATATGCTGAAATACAGCCCCACACCATGATGTTCCCACCTCCAAACTTCACTGTTGGTATGGTGTTTTTGGGCTGATGTGCAGTGCCATTTGACCTCCAAACATGATGTGTATTCTGGCATCCAAACAGTTCAATGTTGGTCTCATCTGACCAGACTATATTCTCCCAGTATTACACAGGCTTGTTTAAAWGTTGTGCAGCAAACTTTAAAGGAGCTTCAACATGCTGTTTCTTCAGCAGTGGAGTCTTGCGTGGTGAGCGTGCATACAGGCCATGGTGGTTCAGTGCATTACTTATTGTTTTCTTTGAAACAATCATACCTGCTAATTCCAGGTCTTTCTGAAGCTCTCCACAAGTGGTCCTTGGCTCTTGGACAACTCTTCTGATAATTCTTTTCACTCCTCTGTCAGAAATCTTGTGAGGAGCACCTGGTCGTGGTCGGTTTATGGTGAAATAATGTTCTTTCCACTTCTGGATTATGGCCCCAACAGTGCTCACTGGAACCTTCAGAAGTTTAGACATTCTTCTGTAACCGATGCCATCATTATGCTTTGCAACAATAAGGTTGTGAAGGTCTTGAGAGAGCTCTTTACTTTTACCCATCATCAGATGGTTCTTGTGTGATACCTGGCATCATTTGGGACTGAACCAGCTGATATTAACTTGCACTGACAAGAGGCAGGCTTGCTTTCTAATTACTGAGAGAGTTCAGCTGGTGTCTTGGCTTTCCATGCCTTTTTACACCTCCCTTTCTTCATGTGTTCAATACTTTTTCCCTGTGCCATTCCACATTATTACAAATAACTTCATTTCTGGACATTTATGGTTTGATTTCTTTGTATGTATGGATCACTTGGGTTGTTACCGACATCTGGTGAAAATTTCATGTCATTAGCACCTCTAGTAATATATTTACTGAGAAAAATGGTGACGTGTTCAATACTTATTTTACCCGCTGTAAGTTGACTTGGCCTGGAATTTCACCTGTCTTCAAAGTGGGAGAGTTTTGACTGCAATCTACTGCAACTTGAGGAGAAGCAACAGCTAACCCACCAGGCCTCTCAAGTTTCACMAGGAAGGGAAGTTTTAGGAACAAAACACAAAAACAACACAGTAAAAGAGCGCCTTTGGTGGAGGAGATAGAAGATATCGAGAAATCTCAAGGCTTTCTGGGTGAGGAAGTCTGACTTATCAGGCTACAACAGAATATCCTGGATCTTGTGGAGGAGGTAAAAGCTCTACAATTACAGAACATAGAGAAGGATAAAAGGATTATCTTTCTTAAGAACTGTGTTGCTGAGTTGGAGCAATATACTCAAACAAATTACATGAAAGTGACCAGGCTGCAAATAAAACCACAGCCCTATGCAAGGGCAGTGTCAGGAGGAGACAGAGGATCAAAGCAAGGAGACACACTGTCGAGCAGCAGGTGACAACTTCACCATTCCAAGGGAATCGAGGTAAATAACAAAAATTTTGAATAATGCCACACTCTCCCATGGAGAAACAACACATAAAAAATACCTATACTAATATTTGCTAAAATACTGAATACTGAAATAAAGTGTCAAATTAAAAATAAAATGTCAACAGTTGTTGATGATTTAATGGAAATATCTACAGTTGAGATACTGAATGAGAAATCTAAAAGTATACTGGTTGGTTGTGTGTTACATCACCAAGTTCAAATATAGATTTATTGACRGATATAATCTTGAAATGAATTTTAATAAAACATTTATGTGTGTGGGTGGGGGGGCTGTATTTTAATATTGAATTGGGAAATCAAACACATAAATCTAACACATAAATATTTAGTCAGTACAGCATAGAGATTATAATTTCAAATGAAACCACTTTGAAAATAGCCAAAATGTGTTTTCAAATGGCATTTCAGTAATTAATCAATCATCCAAAATAGTGTGGTTGTATTGTGGCAAGAATACTGTTGATTAAATTACTAAAATGTCACATGACAATTGGACTGGAGAACCTCATAAACCAGCAGTATCAAGTTTGATACACAAATTTTAACACGGTTTAACTGTACTATTAAAAATATTTTAAGTAATTATGCATTGTTTCAACACAGAAAGTATCTATTAAAAAAATTACAAACAATATTGATGTTATTCTTACCATAACTTCTCCAAAATTAGCAAAAGTTTTCCTAAAAATATGTGTGATGACCTCATGTCAGCATTTTGAAAAGGCAAAAAAAGAAGTTCCACTTCCTGCAGTACATTGATAATCCACCAGAGGGCAGAATACAGGTTTTATGATACACAACAGGTGTTTGAGGAAAATATTGATCACATTGATAAAATATAGGTCACAGAATCCTGCGTAGCAAATATGATACAAATGGTGAGAAACATGAATCATAGAATTTCCATTTGTAAAAAAAAAAAATAAAACAAATGTTATTATTTGCTTTATGTTACCTGTTGTGTTTTTGGTTTTATTTCTTACAGTGAGGCAACACTTGCGTTGCATTTTTCTTAGCAGAATGAGTTAAATTACTGTGTGGAAGCTTGAAGGCGCCACCATCACATGACCCATCAAATCCCCTCTATAACTGTACCCATAATTCTCCTCTTTATCCATCCTTCTACCAACATATTTTCTCTTCTCTTAAACACATAAGGTTGATTAAAACCAACAAAAATATGAAAAAAATCGTTTTTTTCTGATCTGAAAGAAAATCTTAGTTTTTTTTTTAAAGCATGTTTGTATTTTTGTTGTGTCTAGTCTGTGGAGAATCATTTTGATGATTATTACAGAACATGAAAAGTGTTAGAAATGCATGACTCTGATATATATCAGGTTATGACAGTGAGTGTCACCGGGTGGCGCCAATCAACCGCTTCAAAGAAGGACAACATTCCTGGACTCATGTCTGTGAAAGTTCTGCAGTCTGAGAGGGACAGCTGTTGACTGACAAGAAAATTAAAGAGTGGGTTTTCACCTGACAGGTTGTCATTTTTAAGCTTTAACAGCTTCAAAGCAACACTGATGCTGTTTTGTCAGTAACCTGCTGCTGAAGTTGAGGAGTTTTCGCTCAACAAGAAAAAAAAAGCATTTTTCACAATAAGGTGTTGGTCGGATCCACGAGTGCTCTGTGGGACTCAGGGTGACTCAGTCCATCAGCTTCTGGCTGAAAAATGTGCACAGTGTAGTCTGTTGTGTTGWCAGCTTCAGATTTACAAACATTCCTTTCATTAATTCATGTTGTTTTTTACAGTTAAAATGATTTTCTGAAGGTTTGCTCACTTTTAGTTATCTCATCATAACTCAAATAGGTGTCTTTTGTTTAAATTATGCTCAGTGAAAAAACTGATAATGATTCAAAACTACAAGCTGATCAAAGCATCAAGTTTATCCACTTTAATCCAATTTATACTAAACATTTCCTAATAAAATGYACGCACACAACTGGTTAAATTTGTAGAGATTTTTACATAAATTAATTGCGTAATAATGATTCAAGGTTATTTTCTTGGTTAAAACATCGTGTATCTCTAAATGTGGACAAAGAAAGAAAGAAAAACCAACAAATTGTCACAACTTCCAACTTACAAAAGTAATAAAAACTGCCTTTGAGTTTTATTTTAAAAAACAAAATTATTTCAACAACAAACTGATAAAACTGGCCTCGTTTAAAGGAAAAGTCACGGTTTTAAAATGATTGAGAAAACTGCTCCCTCATCCTTTTACAGTCTACATGTTGCACCAACATTTCTAAATTTATTATAAGTATTCTCATTCTTTGCAAATATATGTAAATATATATAT